GTGCGATATTTTGAATTAGGTAGAAGTGCAGGATGTCCACTTTTGTTTTCATTCCCAAAACTCCCAGGCTCATATTCCCAAAAGAAAATAAATCAACCATGTTTTCCGCGAAAAATAAACAACGAAGTGTAAAGCGTGCAGCGTGACTATTTGCTTCTGCTACAAGCTGTTGCAAGTATCAAACGAACCTACACGTACTTTAATTTGTTGGCACAATTTTTTATCTGACTTAGCTCCTGGGAAACAGCAAAATTTCAGATCTGTAGTTTGTTTTATCCAAAGTTTTGTTGCTAATTCGTGTTTGGACGCATGATTATAGGTCAACGATTATCAAGGATCTAAAAAGGTGTGATGTCCGTGCAATAGAACTTGCTGTTAGTGAAGACCATTCAGAACCCCATCAGCAGGTAAAATATCGTAAACTAGGGAACTCCAAAGAATTTTGGGGCAAGACAGGTCAGATATAAGCATCTTATGAAAGGCAAAAATGACAGCACCAAAAGGTGCTTTTTACAGACTGTACAAAAAGAATTTTGTTTTGTAAAAACACTTGACTAAAAAAATTTTGACTGTGAATTGTACATTGTAACTAAATGTTTGCGCACTGATTGAAAGTAATTAATTGCAACCATTGTAACTGATTTTAATGACTGTACAGTGACTGTAATTAAAGACATTTGACTAAATAGAAAGAAAGGAACACTTTAACAGAAATTTATTTGGTGATTGAAATGCGCAAGCAGAAATACGTATGCATGCATACACGTACGACCCCCATACATATAGATGCGCAGGTAAAAGTATTCGACAGTCTAGTGCCAAGAAAATACCAAATGAAATGATATAACAGTGAACGAGATACTAAGGTATTTAACAAATTTTATGAAAATTTAGAAGCAAAGTAGTTACTTCTGAGAGATATTTTATGAAGTAGAGAAGAGGACCAAACTGAGAGCAAGGCCGCGGAGACTGTAATGTCCCAGATGAAAACATAACGCTCCTTTTCCTAATCTGGCTGGCCCACAATTATTTAGAATGTGGCAACCTCATGATAGTACAAGTCGACAATGATATGAGACAACTTGGGCCCTCATCATTTCTATAGGCTTCTTTTTCTTTCACCACGTCACTTTTGTCCCAAGTTGCCTCGTTTTAGGATCCTGATCATCACGAATACAAAAAATTTGATCTAAGTTTGCAATCATCACGAAAGAAGCGAAGAAAGTTCAGAATCACGAAATAAAAGGCACAAAATAAAAATCATATACAATACAAAACAAAAAAAGACATAAAACATAAAAAGCATCTCCAGCCCTCGCCGCAGTCCGATTCGTTACAAGGCTTCAACGGGAAGGAGGAAGAACCGCTTGTCGGCAAAAATTAAGCGGTACTAGTCTGGAGAGATGCCTTCTTTGTCCTTGATCTTTGCTTTGCCATTTCCGGTCCTATCCGACGCCTTCACTTAGCAAGGGATTGCCTTTTCCGTCAAAGTTTTGACGAAAATTGACGTACCACCCTTTAAGCGGTGCACCAGGTGCAATGTTGATTCCTTCTGAATGTCGTAGTCAGATAACTTTCGGTCATCTACCAGTTGCTTGCCTAGAAAGCATCACAAAATAAAATCCGCGTAGTTAGCAGTACTATTCAAATATTGAAAAAATCTGTGTTTGTGCCGAATAACTCTAAACTGCAATTTTCCTATCCAGACGGAAAATTTGCCATTTCCTATTTTAAGAAAAAGATCATGCTCCCCAGGTAGAACTCGTGTATACCACTTACTGTTCTGTCCCGCTTTCCTAGAATTATTGCAACGAAATACATTATGCTGTGCCAAAAACTTCAAAACAGTAAG